GTTAGATTTATTTATGCTCAAAATAACAGAATAACTTGTAAAGCATTGAAAAATTTCCCGAAAAATTAAATGAGACAAGAAAAATTGATTTTTTCTCCGTTCACTTTTAAAGCGCCAGTTTTCCAAAGGTTTTATGACACCAAAAGTGGCACTTTAAACACGGACCATGCAGACCGTAAGTAAAATATTTTTTTCACGCTTAGAATCTATAATATAAAAATGAATCGCAAAATCGCTGGGTAAGTGTTTAACTCAACAACGCCTAGACCAATTTGACCAATTCTTTTTGTAAAATATTCGTAAAAGTCCAATGATGGTTTTTACGGCGAAAAAAATTTGAATAAATGCCGGGTAAACCCTAAAACAGCCCTTTTCTGTAGGATAAAAGTTGGCATTGAGATTTAATCATAGTTATAGTTAAATAGTTGAATCCGAGATGGCGCGCTGAAGTGCATTATTAGCAATTCTTCATATAATTAATTTCTTTAAAATAAAATTGCGAATCTTATTGATAGAATTGACACATACTATGTCTAGAACAAGAGAGAAACAAATTACATTTTTATTAAACACTACCAGGATGAAGTCGCGAGCAAAAGCTAGTGGTAAATAAATTTTATTTCAAGTTTTATTTAATGTTGTTAAAAAGTTAAATTAATTTTAGTAATAATTGATTTAACGAAGACATTTATATTTAGTTTCTCAATAAAGTGTCCGAAAATGCCTTTTCATAATATATATTTTGCAACATTGTTGGAAGCATTCTTCAAATAATATTTATGTGACATAAAACTCTTAAGAGTATTACAATTTCGAGTTTACCATCCGCGCAAGTAAATGGCATGCGAAACTTTCGCTCAACAATGTACACACAGAACTATGCATGAAAATCGCAAAGTTCATCCACTTGATTAAATTAACAAGCCGGAAAGCCGAGTCAGCGTTATGACACATAAAAAATACAAGTTGTGAAAGTCACTAGGACAAATTCACTCATACAACTTGAAACTAATCAATAGAAAACCATTTTGTAATATTGTTCAAAGTAGGCAACCAAACTTACAAAACAGAAACAGTTATTTCAATCACTTTTTAGTTTGCGCTAAGTTTTAGTAAGTTTATACTATGTAGTTAAAATTGCAACCCTCTCAAACTTTGGCCGTCCACAATTATTCATGTTAATGAAGACCGACTGTTACGTTAGAGCCCGACTGAGGAACGTGCGGTCGGCAAAGGGTAAACTAACTGTCCTCCATCTCCGCCATGCGGGTTCCAAAACCCACAGTTCTCAATCCGCGCTCGTTCAACCTTCAATGCTCATCTATACCTTTCCAGTGGCCAACTACCAACAACAAATACTTGCTTCCTATTTATATGTGTTAGTAAGTCATTGGGTAGTCACTGCGCAGGGATGGGAATGAAGGACGTCGTGGTATGACAAAACCATTTATCAGGGCAAAGTGCAAAATTAATTGCAAACACACACACATTCAAACAAATATAGGAAAATATAGGAAAGTCACCAAGTGTATTTTCAGATTATTTTATCGCTTGATAGAAATATACAAGTCATGTTGACTAAATGGTTGCAAATGTAGAGGTTGATTCAACTGGGTCAATAAGAGGTGGAGAACATGAGAATGCAAGAGCGGACGTCGATATCCATCTGATTGGTGGGCTAATTAATGTCATAGATCGGGAGTCGAAACAATGGCGGAATGCGAGAACGCGCGACACAAAAGGAAACCAGATAGAATTAGACGATAAGATTATAAGCCGAAAACGATATCAATAAACATGTCTTCTGATAAACAAATACAATCAATATCATTATTTACTAAGATTGGATTCAAATAAAACACAAAACAAACAAAAAAATATTTATTTTTAATTTGTTGGTTATAATACATTGGTTTCTGGTATTTTCAATATTAAATAAAATATGGTGCTAGAAAACATTGGTGGTAACTTTATGCTAATGTGTAACTAGGCAACCAATACATCACAGAAATCCTTATTTTAACCTTTTTTGGTTTATATAAGTATGCAAAACACATTAAAACACGTTTCTGGAAATTAAAATTGCCGCAAAATATTATTTTCGATAATATGTTATGTTTTAAAATATAAAAACCATTTTGCCCTGTTATAAGAAGTAGGCAACCAAAGTTACATATCAGAAATTAATGTTTTAAGCAGTTTTTAGTTTACATTGATTTTCTTTGATTTTAAGATTTTGAATTAAGATTTTATGGCATTAAAACATTCTTCTGGTACATAAAATGGCGGATACTGTTGTTTTTACAAACAATTGTATGCATGTGATTAAACATTTATGTGAAGCTAAGTAAATAAACAAAATAGAGCATAATTCCGACATTAATGATGTTGTAAACTGTTAAACAGTTAAACGGAAGGATTAGTTTAAGCGCACAAGCAAAGCCAGTTACAAAATTTCAAATCTCATTAGGAATATAAATCGAATATAACATGACGCACATAAATCAAGTGATTATTAAAATAAGTCCACGTGCACATCATAATATTTAGGCGTAATTATAAATTTAATGAAAACGCGGCGCTCCGCCTCCCAAATCCGTTTAACTGATTTTAATGATCATAATGAATCCAGCCGGGAGTTTTAGGACAAGCGGATTATAGTTGGGCATATTTTCCATTTTATTCCCGTCCGCATACTGCGAATATGTATTCAAAAGAACTTTTCAACTATTTATCATTTACACCACTGCATAAAAGCGTATTATTTTCCATCAGGGATGCAATGCGCTTTGTGCGCAGCCCGCTCGCCGCGTTTCCTTGCGTCATATTTTATTGAGGGCAAACCGAAAAGTCCGCGCAATTGTCCTGCACGTCCGATGATTGCGCGCTTCGCGGGAGTGGGGAGTTTATCATTTATTCGTGCATTTTGCAGTCCATTTGCAGATTGCTTTTAAATCCATAATCGGATTTTTCAACGTCACGGAATGAATTGAAGTGCTGGAAATTGCAACGCATCCGGACAACAAGAGGAAAAAAACAATCAATGAAATTTTCAATGATTGCAAATGGAAATTTGAATTTTACAGGTCAAGAGAATAGTGATACATATTTTGTAGTAACCCAAGAAGTAGGCAAACAAAGGTACATCACAAATTTGTATAGGTTGTTTTTTTAAATTATATTTTCTCTGTTAAAACACATTTCTGCAAATTAAAATGGCAAAGATTGTTGTTTTTGCAAAATAAATTTGTTATATATTTCAGTATGGTAAAGTTGCATACTAATAAAACACGTCAGCGCCATCTAGGATTCAATTATTTAGCTTCAACTATGATTGAATCTCTATACCAACTTTAAAATCTTATTTAACACGCTTTATGTCATGTTTTTTTTTAAATATTAATACTATTAGGCGGAGAAACGAAGGTAGACGATCAAAATTTGTAAAACCACATTTGAAGAAATAATTAAATTGCTTTTTAACATTTTATGCGTTAATAACAATATCTTTAAGTGAAAATATAATTAATGTTAATAGAAAGTAAAATTATGATTGCAATTTGTCCGACTATAAGTTAAGTAAATAATTTCAAAGACCATCGGACATAATGCAATCCAAACATGCGACGCCACACACGTCGCGCTGCAATTATGGAATTAATCCGGGATGCATTCGCAAAATGCACCCACGGTCAACACACGCCGCGCCCCTCACTCTCCACCAGTTTACTACAACTCACCCCAATTCGCCATTATTGTATTTCATGCACGCGTCACCGCATACTCAAACCCAAACATTACAAGATACAAGATAGAAGCTAATGCCTAACAAGAGCTTCTAATTTAATCAAGCGTATTTATAAATACTCAAGATAGCCGCTTCTCATCATACACACACAATACTCACACTTAAAAATCAAAAAAACATTAATTAGCATTACAACTCTGCAGCCAAATAAATCTGGTTATTATCATGACAGGACGTGAAATGCGTTATTTACAAATGACCACCCCTAATATTAAATTCGCCTCGTTTTCGGTTGTTTGTTTGCATGGGAACGAAGCAACGAACGAACAAGACATCACAATGTCGGTAGCTTCTAATGACGCATGTTGCATGTTGCACACACGAGGCGCAGTCGCATGTTCGCCGCCGGGGTAAACCACCCCATGAGCGCGGAATCATCCGGAAAGAGCAACAATGCAAATTTCTAAATGTTGAAAATCCCTTTTGCCTTTCACATCCATTTTCATCATTTCAATATGAATTATTTTGGCGCATGACACGTGGCAGTGTTTACATTCTCACAATATTTATACAATGAAGGGATTAATTCGGTATGCATATATAGAAAATGTGGATTCACATCAAAATCAAAATAACAGATTATTTTACTTACTTCTAAATGTACATAATAGATGGGTATATACTGATTTATAAACTACTAAAATTTTTATCTATAATATTAAAATGAATCACAAAATTTGTTGGTAAGCGCATAACTCAACAACGCTAAGACCAATTTGGCCAATTCTTTTTTTAAAGTGTTTGTTTAAGTCCAAGGATGGTTTTTACGGCGAGAAAAATTTGAATAATTGCAGGGAAAACCCTAAAAAAAACCCTAGTTATAGTTAAATAGTTGATTCCGAGATGGGGCGATTAAGTGCATTATTAGCAATTCTTAATACAATTAATTTCTTTTAAAAAATTGCGAATTTTATTGATAGAATTGACCCATACTATGTCTAAAACAAGAGAGTAAAACGAATTATATTTTTATTAAACACAACCGAAACGAAGTTGCAGGCAAAAGCTAGTACACAATATTTTTTATATTTTCATTTTTAAATTCTCAGAATAAAAACAAGTAAAAATAGATTTTAGGGAAGTTAAATTTAATCTCCGAGGAGGGCTTACACGTTAAAAATCAAAATCTCTATGAAATCAACCGCAGACTGTAGGCACATAGAAATAGTTTGTGATTTGTAAGCAAAGTGTGAGAACATAATAAAATTGATAACTCGTCATTGACCTCTTTATTTAATTGCTCTACAAGTGCGATATTTCACTGCAAAACGAATTAATTTCTTTAGTTGCACCCACAAATCATCCGTCTCAACATGTACTAAACGTAGAATATTGAAACAAAACCATTCAGAATGCTACTAAAAACCGTAAGTACAAAAATAAAATATAATTTTAATACTTTTATAACAATTGGCTGTTAAAAACATCCAGTTAACGACCCATAAACAATGGAGGTTATGGCGCGTAAACTATCACACTATAGGCAACCACACCAACACGCCACCTTCTCTTCGCGGCAGTTACGCTGCAAAACGTGCAATAAACGCGAAAATCAAACCGCGCTTCGATAAGCTGCTGATTGCTAATCGCGGTGAAATCGCGTGTCGAATAATAAACACGGCTCGCGCAATGGGCATACGAACAGTGGCTGTGTTTTCCGACATAGATTCAAATTCGGTAAGACTATTAACTAATGGTAACAAACACAACAGAAATTAATTTTAACCTAAAAAGTAGAAACATGTCAAAATGGCGGACGAATCTATCCATATAGGTGGTCCTAAACCTTCAGACAGCTATATGAACATACAAAGTATTATTGAAGCTGCAAAAATGACAGGAGCTAACGCAATACATCCAGGATACGGATTTTTAGCAGAAAATTATAAATTTGTTGAATTATTAGTAAGTAACACCATAAAAATCAACTAAATATTTTATCAATATAAAATTATTTTAGAACCAAAACAATTTAATTTTTGTTGGACCATCTTCAGATTCCATAGCAAAAATGGGCGATAAATTAAAATCCAAACAAGTAGCAATGGCGGCTGGTATCAGAACCATTCCTGGATTTGATGGAATTATTCAAAATGTCAACCATTGTTTAGAAATAGCTCAAATTATAGGTTATCCTATAATGATCAAAGCATCAGCAGGGGGTGGCGGTAGAGGCATGAGGATAGCTCATAACGAAAAAGAAGCAAGTGAGGGTTATGAGTTAGCTGCAGCCGAAGCTCAAATTGCTTTTGGGGATAACCGTATTTTACTAGAAAAACACATAACCAATCCCCGCCATATTGAAATTCAAGTCTTAGGTGACCAACTTGGCAATGCCATACATTTGGGTGAAAGAGAATGTAGCATTCAAAGAAGACACCAGAAGATTATAGAAGAAGCTCCCAGTAGCTTCCTAGATGAATCTACCAGATCACTTATGGGTTCGCAAGCAGTGGCGTTATGTAAAAAAATCAACTATCACTCTGCAGGTACCGTGGAGTTTTTAGTTGATTCCGAGAAAAACTTTTATTTTCTTGAGATGAATACGCGTCTACAAGTTGAACACCCACTGACTGAATGCATTACTGGTATTGACCTTGTGGAAGCAATGTTATTGGTAGCTCAAGGTCAACCACTACCAGTCTCTCAAAATGATATCTCCTTCAAAGGATGGGCTATCGAAACAAGAATCTATGCAGAAGATCCTTTTAAAAATTTTGGCACTCCTTCAACAGGAAGAATTTACAAATATGTAGAACCAACGAATGTGCGATGTGACAGTGGTGTGCTGGAAGGAGATCTTATCAGCATTTACTACGATCCGCTTATAGCAAAAGTAATTTCCCATGACGTGGATAGAAAGAGTACAATACAAAAAACAATCAACGCGTTGGATTCGTACATTCTCAGAGGAGTAACGCATAATATTCCTCTCTTAAGGGATGTCCTCACAAGGGAAGACTTTCAGAGTGGTGAAATTAACACCGAGTACCTTAATCGGACCTATGGTCAAGACGGAAGAAAATTCACAAGGTATAATTTGACTTTGGAAGAGAAACAAGCCTTAATTGCTAATGGTGTTGCAATGTTTACGAAAGAAGAGGTTAGGAGAAGATTTCATCAAGGACCTACAATAAATGATAGTGAATCCATTAAGGTAGTCATTGAATTGCCCGGTGGGAATGACCAAAATAGAAATCAATATCATGTGTTAATTAGAAACATTGAAAAAATCAAAAACACGGAAGAATTTAGTCTTGAACTTAAAATTGATGATAATGATTGGTTTGGGTATAGTATATCTACACAAGGATTAATCATTAATGGTCCTACCGATATTGTAATGCAATTTGCTTACAAGAAACCAGACGGAGTTGGAATTATGTAAAACATTGTCAAACCTATGAAATTTGAGGTTATGTTAAGAGTATCTACTTTGTTTTAGATTTAAAGGTGCCTTATATGATCTTAAGATACTATCAAAGGTAGCTCATGATTTAATGCAATACGTAACCACAAAATCAACCCATTCTATTTCAAAAGAAGTCAGAGCTCCAATGCCTGGATTAATGAAGAATATTCTATGTAAAGAAGGACAAGTTGTTCATGATGGAGAAGTTCTATGCATTATAGGTTAGAATTTGAATATCTCATATTAATTTAACATTTTAATATAACATTTCTTTATATTTTAGAAGCAATGAAGATGCAGAACTCCATGAACGCTTCTACAGCTGGAAGAATTAAAAAAATCAATTTTTCCATTGGTGATCGAATTGCTGAAGATGATGTCCTCATTGAAATTGAATGATTATTTCATTTATTTTCGAAAGTGTTGGTAGCACCTAGATTGTACATTATTAGATTTGAACCAGATGCGGTTTTAGGTTAGGGTCATCGGCTCTCGTGCCGGTTTAATCGCCAAGACCAATATTGCCGCGGCAGATTAGTATGATCGCGCTCTCGCGCATGAAACTATCAAATTCAATTGGCCGAAATAATTGTTATACCTATCCCAGGTCCCGGATTATGACCGCGGTCGGGAATGTATCACGCGATTATATGCGTAGCACATCACGACGCAGATAGCAACATAACCTCAATCGTGCAAGGGTACATTCAGGTGAGATTTGCAATTTAATAACAATGAACAATTAGAGTTTATCTGCAAAGCTTATCACATGTGGCAATTATGTTAGAATATAAGAATTGTATTAGTAATAGTTTGTTTTTAATTACTTTTAATTAAAATTTAAATTAATATTATATACTAGCTTTTGCCCGCGACTTCGTCCCGGTACTGCTTAATAAAAATGTAATTCGTTTTCACTCTCTTGTTTTAGACATTTTATTTTAAAGAAATTAATTATATAAAGAATTGCTAATCCTAATGCACTTCAGTGAGCCATCTAGGTTTCAACTATTTAACTATAACTATGATTGAATCTCAATGCCAACTTTTATCCTAAAGAAAGGACTGTCTTTAGAGTTTTCCCGGCAATTAATCAATTTTTTCTTGCCTTAATAACCATCCTTGGACTTTAACAAACATTTAGAAAAAAGAATTGACCAAATTGGTCTTGGCGTTGTTGCGTTATGCGCTTACCAACAGATTTTGCAATTTATTTTTATTTTATAGAAGATATTAATGTGTGACTTTATTTGCATTTTTCTTTCTCTTACGTAAAAGTGGCTGAAATATTTTTGACTTCAATTTAGCTTTATAGAACAATTAGTAAATTATTTTAGTGTTATGCATTTTGGTGTTTGCAAAACTAAAAGTTTTGATTTATCCAAAGCATCCTGCGTCTGGCGTCGTTAGCAAACGAAGGGTTCGTCTAAAATATGCTACCCCCTTGGTAGTTCTACGATTAGTGCGGATTAAAATATGTTTATAGCGGCACGTGGACCTTCCAGAGACACTTAGCGATGAAACATAACCGAAACGAGAAGATCCTCAACCGCCAGAAAGGATAACGATGTCTACACATCTGTTTCTGCAAATGTTCATTATGATTATTAATCAACACAAAGTCCAAAAGCTTTAAATCCCGCAGTTAAACCAACAACACAGAAAAATATTAATAATTGTCGCTATAGTTAATTAAGTTCTACTGCATACAACGATAATACAATCAATACATATTCGTATATTAAATTTAAGAAATAAATGTTATGGAATGTATATTGAATCAATTTTGGGGTTGATAACAGCCGATGCAATCCCGCAAGCAATTTGCGGCTGTGCTTTTTAATAAAACTTATAATCCAAAGAGGGTTGATTTGTGTTTGGGGTGTGCGTAAATAAAAAAAAGCTCTCACAATAAATAATCTCGCGTTCGATTGTATTGAATTTCCTTGAAGCTTGTTATCTGCATCCGGCCTGCAGCGTGCAAGGAAAACGCATTTGCCACCCTACACACGCCTCACACCCCCTTGGAGCGGACGTATTTAATGCGTCGTCAAATGTTTCCGGCTGCTTCGCAACAAGCACAATTCATTAGACACGGGGGTGGTGTACGCCCGGCCAAAGAAGGGTGGCAGCCCCTAGTTGGAAATTCTCAGAGTTGTAAAAAAAGCGATGGGTTTAATGCTCACATTGGAAATCTTGTTCGCACTTGTTTTGAGACATTAAGGCGGACAACGCGGTAAGGGTGTGGAGAAACACCCTCGTTGATCCCCGTCGACGTCCATCAGGATTAAAACGTCCCTTGGACTTTGGTCATGTTAAAAGTATGACATGTCCCTGGAGTGTAAAAAAACGAAACAAATCCCATGTTTGTTCAATTTGTTTTTGGGTTGATCTAATATGCCATACGAAATTTATTTGTGATTGTATTAATTTTTATTGCCGCTATAAAACAGTTTTTATATATAATATAATGGACAATTGCAGAGGTGTGTTCAATATTAGTTCAGCTGCACGATGATCCTGCAACTCTTTTTGATGCTGGTGTTTGTTCATTCCGTATACCTGGTAAATAAAAATATATAAAAATGTTTAACAAGTGAGTTATAACCTAAAATTTTTAGAAATGTTCGGAAGAATACGAAATCGATGGCATGGCAGTATATTGGGTTGCCGAAGCTGACGATGACCCCAAATTCTATTTCTCAAATCCAATTTGCATTAACAAAGGTTTTATTACATTCAGAGAGTGTAATTTGAAAACAAATGAATTTATAGATCCACCACCAGAGTGTGAAGCATGGCAATCGAATTATAAAGTATGCTATCCTTCTACATCAGAAGTCCTGAGTGACTTTTGTTTTGTATTTCCGGATAGTGCACAGGCATTTGATCAACGAGAATGCCCTTATAATCAGTTGTACATAAGAGATGATCAATCTGTTTATGAATATTTAAGTAATCTTCGCCCAATATGGCTGCCATGGAGACGCAATGACGTGAATGGTGGAGTAGGCGACTTTATATACACTCCATATCGAAAATACGTAGATCCTTTAATTAGTGTAGTAGAACTTGCTCCACTCGTAACTAGCACAGAAGACGTCCAAGATCACAAATGTTTGTCTATGTACAACGGACAATACAGCGCTGATTGTACAACACCTAGGTATCACGTATGTCTCTACGATGTTATAATGTTCAACTCCATAGATTTTCCGAGTCCAATTTATGAACCTGATTTCTGCAGAGAGAAACATGAAAACGAGTTCTGCCGAACATCATGGGATGTGGGTTTGGATGGTATAACTTGCATTTGTCCCTCGGTATGTCAGACTCCGGCAGTAATTCCTGAAAGGGTAGCAAATTGTGGAGTGCCTGTTGAAATAAATGACGATGATGTTTTAATATGGACAGCAACTCAACAACCGGTAAAAAACACCATGTGGACAGGCAGCCAGGTCTTGAGGAAACCAAATCACAAATTTATTACTTGGTCTGATGGTTGGATCCTTTCAGAAGAACCTGGTAAATGCCAAATGTGTGAAACGCACTGGAAATTTGAAGAACCAATACTAACTTTATCATACGATACTGAACTTAAAGTACACATTCAAAACCCCGAAAGGGCATATTTACGAGAGGAATCAAAGGGTGAAATTCAATGCTATTCACATTTAAATATGGAAACTGTGAGAAATCGTTTAAGTGAGGTTAAGAATCCACCTTATGTTGGAGTGTGGCAGTGTTCCGTGCATGACATAGCAAATACTTCAAACATTATTAGAAGCAACAAAGTTACTGTTTTTGGTTCCAAAGTGTATTTTATCGTAGAAATCACGTGCAACACTGTTTTGGATGAATGCACCACAGATTTGGAAAGCACAAATGATGGAGATGGAGATAGTTTTTTGTTTTCGCCTATTACCCGCTTAAATTTAATTATCACCAATGGTGTTATTTCATTCGACCAGACATATCAAGCGGAAATAGAGAAAGGTGATGAGGATTATTATCAAATACTAAAAGCAAGAATGAAAAGTGCAGGTGTGGAACACTTGAATCCAAGGACATACCATTTAGAATACTGCGAAGAATTCATGGTAGTACAAAATGGACATGAGTTGTATTTTGCACAAGTATCAGTTAACCAAGTGTCAAGAACAACCTGTTACGATGAACAAGGATACGCTGTTAAAGTAACATGCATAGAGGATCACAGTCACGGTGCTCGATTTTCTGCCGTTCCTGATTGCCACACCTTCGAGAGCAACCATACTACAGAATTGGGTGACTTGGAAACATCCGAGGGTCCTCCAGAAGAAATTTTTACAAGTCTAATAGAAATTTTACAAGATAAAGATTACCCTTTTCAAAGCGGAGATTTAAACAAAACTATTAACATATTAGAAAACATTGGTCAGTTAGTGCCCAAGGAAGATTTAATGGAGTCAATCAATATTCTGATGGACATAGACCCAGTCGTTTTTCATCAAGCACAAACTCAATTAAATGTATCTGACAGGATCCTAGACATGTTAGATGAGGCATTGACATCAGTTTATTTAGAAGAAAGTGAAGTCATCTTGGAACATGAAAACCTTATGAGTGTATTAATGTCCGAGGAATCTGAATATAGAGGAGTTGGAATATCATCTACAAATGAAACAATATTATTGAAGGATCAAACAATTGAAGATTTTATTAATATGGGTGAATGGCAAGTTGTGGCTTATTTAAACTACTCTTCCAAAGAAGACTTATTTGAAAGTGACATTGACACCAACAGCACCAATAATTCTACCAGTAACATTAGATCGATTACTCTGTTTCATTCAACAACACTGTTCAATGAAAAACATAACAGTGCCCTCGATGGTTACCATGTCTACAATCAAGTATTCAGCATTCTTGTCCCTGAATATTACTACCTGCAATCAGATGTAGAGATTCTCTTGATATTTCCAACTACACCTTCAGGTTACGAAAAAACTGAATGCGCCTTCTGGTATTATGGACAACTAATTAAAGGCTCTTGGAAAACAGATTCGTCTAGCACTTGGTCAAGTTTCTCAACAGACAAATACAAAATCTGCACATTCAACCATACCACCCATTTTGGTCAACTTTTGATGATGCAAAACGATGTACTAAGTCCGCTAAGTGAACGTATTTTGTCAATGATGACAATGATAGTAGGCAGTATTTCTTCCCTTGGAATAGTTATAATATTCATTACCGCCATTTGCTTTCCCTCATGGGGTATAACTCAACTGCGGACTTTGAACTTTTGCCTCATGCTGCTGATGCAAACTATGTTACTTTTTGTCAGCACCAATTATGGTGACATTAGTACCACGTCAATAGGTTGTACTGTCTTGGGAGCTTGTCTTCACTTTGTGGTGCTTTCCCAATTCTGCTGGATGGTCGCGTTGGCACACCGTCAGTACCAGATGTTCGTCAAAGTGTACAACCCCAGAATGATTCACATCAAATGGATCATGGTACTCACGTCGGGTCTGCCGGCGGCTATCGTTACTATAACTTTAGGTGTGAACAAGAACACTTACGGGGAAGATAATTTAGAATCAATGAGTTTATGTTATCCTAGTGGATACACCTTGATTAGCTCAGTACTGGCTCCAGCATGCTTTGCAATGGTCATCAATATCATAATCTACTTTCGTATTATTTATGAATTGCATTGTAAGAGACAAAGCAAAGAGAAAACGTCAACACAAAATAATGACTCAATATTTCTATTGAAACTTCGTCTTTTCGGGCAGTTGTTCTTTACGTTGGGCATTAGCTGGTGGTTAGGGTTGTTAGCATTTATTTTTAAGTGTACCTTTCTTTTGTTTGGATTTTCCATAACCACTGCTATGCAAGGATTTGTTTTATTCCTCTACGTTATTGTTGCTGATAAAAAAGTTCGTAAGATGTACATTAGAAAACTAAATTCAGCTTGTAAAAGACAATAACTTAAATTGATTCAATTTTTATGATTACACTAGCTTTTGCTCACGACTTTGTCCCAGTAGTATTTAATAAAAATGTAATTTTTTTTACTCTCTAAGATTTGCAATTTTCTTTTAAAGAAATTAATTATATAAAGAATTGCTAACAATGCACTTCAGCGGACAATCTCTGGATTGAATGATTGAATCTCATTGCCAACTTTTATCCTATAGAAAAGGGCTGTCTTTAGGGTTTTCCCGTCAAATATTTGAATTTTTCTCGCCGTCAAAACCATCCTTGAACTTTAACAAACATTTAAAAAAAAAAGAATTGACCAAATTGGTCTAGGCGTTGTTGAGTTATGCGCTTACCAACAGATTTTGCGATTTATTTTTATGTTATCGATTGTGACAGTAATATTATTTTTAAAAAGGTTGAAAGGCAAATTTCAGATACATTTGGCATGAATTATACTTTTATCGATTATTTACTTTATCTCTGGTTAGAACTATTTTACTAATTTAACATGCCGTGTTTGCTGATTTGAGCATTGGGAGATAACAACTTACCAAACATGAAAATATATTTTTTTTATTATAATGGGATTTATGGGATTTATACAGATCACAAAGTGTTAACATCGATGTTAGCGTAGTAGTAAAATGAGTGCTTTTAAATTTGTTTTATTTACTTCACTGATTCCTTCAATATTTATGGTAATATCACATATTTTTAATTACTTATTATTTAAAACCTAGTCAAAAACTATTTCAGCAATGTTCCGATGAACAAACCGTCAACGGAGAAAAAATATACTGGTCAAAATCAATTCAAAGTGATCCCAAATACTACTACTCAGAGCCATTATGCATTATCAACGGCATTTACGTACTACGAGAATGCGACTTTGAAAAACATGAGTTTCTCACTAAACAACCCGACTGTGAGTCTTTGCAAGATGGTTCAGTTATGTGCTACAATCCCACATCATTCATGTCAGGTCAAGAACAAAAAGATTTCTGTTATGTAATATCTGACACTATATTGCCATACGATGAAGGTTTAGAATGCCCTTACAACCGATTGTACATACAAAATGAAGATCCCATTTATAAAGCTATAAGTATGAAGTACCCCATATGGATACCATGGAAGCGAAATGATGTGGATGGCGGAGTAGGTGATTTTATTTCGGAGGCATTAATCGATACCCGTACCATTGATGCAATGCCCAGAATAGAACTTACGACACTAGTTTCAAGCACAGAAGATGTTCTTAACTACAAGTGCTTGTCTTTGTACAATGGTGTCTACAGCGCCAATTGTGATACTCCTAGGTATCATGTTTGCATATACGAAAGTTCCAGATTTACAGATAGTTCATATATCAAAGCGGAGCGTGAACCAGATTTTTGCAAATTACAGCATGCAAACGTCTATTGCCGCACATCGTGGGAGGTGGGCTTACATGGCATTACTTGTATTTGTGCCGCAGAATGTGAAACTCCAGCGGTACATCCTATGAGCGTAGATGAATGTGCAGTGGGTGTTGAAGTAAACAAAAGTGGGGTTTTGGTTTGGTCAGCGAACCAACTCCCTGTTGAAACTTTTTTATGGTCAGGCGAGCAGGCTATCGCTGGAGATATTTCAGAGAAATTTGTTGTTTGGCAAGGAACAGGTTGGGTATTTTCGGATGAGCCTAATAATTGGAAGATGTGTGAAACTTTTTGGTCTATTAAGGAACCCATTCTTGAATTATCGTATGACACGAAACTAAAAGTCAACATTCAACATGAGGAGAGAGTATTTCTTAGAGCTAAAACTGAATTTGTTGATCCTGTTGAAGTAATATGTTATTCCCATCTGGATATGGGTTATGGTAAAAAACGATTAAGTGAAATTGAGGATTCTCCTTCTGTTGGTGTATGGCAGTGTGCCGTGTATGACATTGCTAATATGTCAAATATTATTCGAAGCAACAAAGTTACCGTTTTTGGTTCCAAAGTGTATTATATTGTAGAAATCACATGCAACAAATCACTATCAGCATGTGCTTCAGATTTGGAAAGCACATATTCTGGTGTAAAATTCGTATTTTCACCCATAACCCGATTAAATTTAATTATCTCCGATGGGGTTACCACATTCGATCAAACATTTCAAGTAGAAATAAAGAAAGAAATTGAAGATTCTTATGAAACACTTAAAGCCAACATGAAAAGTACACTTGTGCAACACTTGAATCCAAGGACATACCATTTAGAATACTGCGAAGAATTCATGGTAGTGCAAAATGGACATGAGTTGTATTTTGCACAAGTATCAGTTAACCAAGTGTCAAAAACAACCTGTTACGACGAACAAGGATACGCCATTAAAGTAACATGCATAGAGGATCATAGTCGCGGTGCTCGATTTTCTGCCGTCCCTGATTGCCATACCTTCGAGAGCAACCGTACTACAGAATTGAGTGACCTGGAGACATCCGATGATCCTCCAGAAGAAATTATAAGAAGTCTAATTGAAATTCTACAAGACGAAGAATATCCTTTTCAAAGCGTAGATTTGAACAAAACTGCTAACATATTAGAAAATATTGGTCATTTAGTACCCAAGGAAGATTTAATAGAGTCCATTAATATCCTAATGACAAAGGATGCAACAGTTTTCAACCAAGCACAAATTCAGCTAAATGTATCTGATAGAGTCCTGGATAAATTAGATATGGCACTGTCATCAGCACAATTAGATTATAACGAAGAAATCACAGAAAGTGAAAATATTGTCAGTGTATTAATGTCGGAAAAATCATATTATAGAGGGGTTGGATTGACGTCTGCAAATGAAACAATCCTAATTATGGAACAAACTCTAGATGAACTTTTAGAGTTAGCCAACTGGGAAGTAGTGGCTTATTTAAATTATACTTTAGAGGAGGACATATTTAAAACAGAATTGAGCATCACTTCAATTACTTTGTTCCATTCAACGGTGTTATTCAATGAACCATCTAGCAATTCACTTGATATTGATTATCAAGTTTACAGACGTGCCTTCAGCATTCTAATTCCAGAACATTACTATCAGCAATCAGAAGTTGAGGTTCTCTTAATATTTCCTTCTTTTTCATCAATGTATCAACAAACAGAATGCGCGTTTTGGTATTATGGGCAACTAATTAAAGGTTCATGGAAAACAGATTCTCAGAGCTTCCAATCAAATGCCGTAACCAGCAAGTATACAATCTGCACCTTCAACCACACCACGCATTTTGGACAACTTCTGATGACGCAAAATATTCTTACTCCAATAAGTGATGGCATCCTTTCCATGATGACATTGATACTATGCAGCATATCTTCCTTGGGACTTGTTATAATATTCTTTACAGCCATGTGTTTTCCCAGCTGGGGTAAAAATCAACTACGCACTTTGAATTTTTGTCTTATTCTGCTGATGCAAACTGTTCTTCTTATCATTGGCACTAACTATAATTCCGCTAATGCCAATTCAATAGGATGCATTGTTTTGGGAGCATGTCTTCACTTTGTGGTGCTCTCACAATTCTGCTGGATGGTTGTGTTGGCGCACCGTCAATACCAAATATTCGTCAAAGTATACAACACTAAATCAATTCACATAAAATGGATCTTGTTATTCACTTGGGGTCTGCCGGCGGCAATCGTTACTATAACTTTAGCCGTGAACAAGAACACTTACGGAGAAGATAATTTAGAATCAATGAGTTTATGTTATCCTAGTGGATATACCTTGATTAGCACAATACTGGCTCCAGCATGTCTTGCAATGGTCATCAACATCATAATCTACTTTCGTATTATTTATGAACTACATTGTAAAAACCAAAACAAGACAAAAATGTCAAGCCAATTTGATGATCCAATGTTTTTATTAAAATTGCGACTTTTTGCGCAGTTGTTCTTCACGCTAGGCATCAACTGGTGGTTTGGTATCTTTGCTTTTGTTTTCGACAGTTCTTTCTTCCTGTATTGTTTCTCTATCACTACTCCTATGCAGGGGTTTGTTTTATTTCTATATATAATCATCGCTGATAAAAAGGTTCGAAATATGTATATCAGAAGCTTTAAAACAGCTTTTAGACATCAATAAAAATATGTATTTATTTATTACAATACAAACAGAAACCATCTCATTATTATATCCTTGACCTAGCAACCAGTCAATGCAAACACTTCACGCATTCCAGGCAAGGAAACGTCAGTGTGTCAAGATTGTAATTTTCACATTCTTCTATCTATCATGAGGCTTAAAGTTACTTTAGCAAAAGATTCCCCTCACGAGAAGACTGTGACATGTGTTGGTTGGAGTAGCACGGAAGAGGTTTACTCCGGAAGGTGAGCAACTCAGCCAAACACTCAAATACTTTGACCTAATATAAACTCATATAGTGATGACAATCAACTACTCTCTTGGACGGTGTCCAACAATGAATCCACTCGAATCGCCCGCTTCAACTTTGATCTCTTTCCAACTGATCTTCAGTTCGTTCCACGTGTAGGTGGAATGACAGGTGGTAAACATGCGGATCTTATGCTTATCACGTCGGCCGATGGGCGATTTCATATCGCAAACCGTGGTGGTCGTGTGGAACGTTCCGTTGAAGCTCACAAAGGTGCCATTCTCATTGGTCAATGGAGTAATGATGGAGCTAGCCTTCTAACAGGTACTGGTAATTTTTCAATAAAAATAAAATTATAATATCCTAAAACTTGTAGGTGGTGAAGATGGTTTTGTGAAGGTATGGTCCCGAAGTGGCATGTTACGTTCTACAGTGGTAACCAGTGAGAATTCTGTCTATGGTGCCGCCTGGTCCCCAGATGGTCAAGCAATCGTCTACACAAATGGAAAACTATTGGTCATCAAACACTTAACCCCAAATACCAAACCAACTAAAGTAATTCGTTGGATTTTATTTATTATAAGAATTATTTTTAATTTTTATTGTAGTGGAAAGCACACGATGGTCTAGTTCTTTGCGTAGCATGGAGCGCCGCGTGCGAAATGATCGCCTCCGGTGGTGAGGACTGTAAATACCGGGTTTGGGACTCCCACGGTCGCCCTTTATTCTCCAGCGGATTACACGACCATCCGATAGCTTCAATTGCATGGTCACCAAATGGGGACTCTTTTGCCGTTGGGTCTTATAACACTCTGCGACTCTGTGATTATTCAGGAGTAAGTTTATGCATGGTAACAAAAAGTACATTTTTAAAAATGTTATTTTGTTAGTGGTCCAGATGTCTTGAGAAACCTCCAACTGGTACCATTCTAAAACTGAGCTGGAGTTCAGATGGCACGCAATTAGCTGGAGCCTGTGCTAATGGTAAAGTCATCTTCGCCCACGTAGTAGATCGAAGTGTAGAGTACGGCAACTACACAGCAACAGTCACTGAGAAGAAAGCAGTGGCAGTGCATGATGTCCAAACAGACACCACTGAACTACTAGACGTACCCGAAAGAGTCATACAACTATCAATGCGATATGGCCATCTTGTTCTTACAACCCCAAAGCAGTGTTATGTTTACAGCGCCAACAACTGGAACACTCCAACTATATTTGACCTGAAGGATGGAAATGTCACTTTGTTGCTACAATCTGAAAAGTTAGAATGTAGTGTGTTTATTTCATTTTTTTTACTTCATTTATTTGCAGGCACCTGTTACTTGTTGAGAAAACGACAGTGGGATTATACAGTTATCAAGGTAGGCTTGCAGCATCCCCCAGATGGCCCAACATGCGTTTAGAGAGTTTACGATCACAATCAGTAGCATTATCGCCGGATACACTAGTAGTACGAGATGTCGCAGATGCTAAACTATTGCATATAATGGACTTGGCGTCAAACCGCACGATGCAAGACACCTCCTCAACTCTACAACACTCAATGGCAATTATCCAAATTGCACTGGATCAATCCGGTCCAGCTTCAGATCGGCGCGTTGCCATCTTAGACAAAAACCGCGATCTATTTCTGGTGCAATTAAAAACACAACACAAAGACTTTCAAAAACTGGGCGGGCAGATACAGTCCTATCAATGGAACACTGATGAAAACATGCTCAGCGCTATTCAGGACACCAGACTCATCGTGTGGTACTGCCCGTCGGCTTGTTTTGATCGTGATCTGTTGCGTCTTTGTAGTATGCAATACGATTCGCAGGATCTTGGCAGAAGTCCGAGAATACATGATTTCATCGGAAATGCGGTTTTTGTGCGCAGAACTGATGGATCCCTGTTAAATATACCAATATCTCCGTTTCCAACTCTGTTGCATGGGTACATACAGAATAACAAGTGGTCGGACGCGTTGAATCTGTGCCGTACAATTGATGAGACCACTTTGTGGGCTTGTTTAGCTGTCATGGCGACTCAATCGGCAAGTGATGCGTTAGATATCGCCGAGGAAGCTTACGCTGCCATCAATCAATATGATAAAGTGTTGTACATACAACACTTGAAGGTATTTTAGTTATTTTAGTAAAAATATTACTATTTTACCATTGAAATACTGGATAATAATAACATGTCTTAGAGACAATTATTGAATAATTTTACTCCATCAAATGGTAGATCATGCCTTTAAAATGTATTATTTTGTAATTATGTTGAAGGAATTACCCCGACCATTGCAATTAGCAGGCGCCGCGCTACTAGGCGGACAGATTCAACACGCCGAATCGATCCTACTACACAACGGCATGGTGTATAACGCAATACTCAATCACATAAGATTGCATAATTGGAATAGGTACTACGTACTCTCCGCAAACCACCAATCCCGAATGCACCCGCATGCTGTACATGCATACAATCTATTCGCATTGTTCGTTAGTAAATCAGCAAGGCCGAAATCTACGACTCAACCGCCGAATTACTAACTTGATAATTCGATAATTGATAAATAATTGACACAGAGTAATTAATTAACTAATGCGATTGTCTTTCAGGGCTTTGGACTTGGCTGTACGGCATAAAACTCACATTGATACCGTACTTTATTTGAGAAATAAATATCTTGAAAAGCTGGAGAAGGACGAGATCAATACAAAGTTTATCAATTTGAGAAAAACTGTATGTAAACATTATTAAACATATGAATGAAGGAATCAATTATTTTACTGTTTCAGGTTGAGATTAACGAAGAGAAAATATTGGAACGCATCGAACAAGAAAAGAAACATTAAGTTAATTTCACAAGATGGCGGCGAGCATCACACATCGTAAACTGTATATGTTAATAATTATATTTAATGTTTTATTAGTGTTTGCTAATTTAACCGAATAGAGAATATAACAGATGATTGAATCCAAATTAAAATTATTACCCAATACGTAAATCACTTGATAAAAACTAGAAGACAGCAAAAATAATCGTTAGGCAAAAACTTGTTATAACAAAAACTGCCATAAATTCTATTCTTGATCACCTTCCTCGCCTATTTTAATATAATCCGCATACATACCTTTCCGCATCGGATCTAATTCCATCAGTTTACGGTAAACGTCTAAGTTTTTCTTTATTGCATCTTTGTTAGACAATGAGAGACTACCTGCGATCCAACACTTCGCCATGTAAACCCCTGGGGACACAAAAGAAAAAAAGGATTAACTAAAGATTATTACACTCTATAAAACTAAATCTTACACTTGCAATTAGGCTCCAATTCCAGCAATTGCTCGAAATCGCTTAGCAAAGCTTCGCGATGTTTCTCGGAAACCGCCCGGTTACTTAAAACCCAACGCAGGTAAAACCACGTGCTGCTATCGTACGGATCCGTAAAAACAGCGTTCTGCACCAAGCGTAATTCATCCTCTAATGTCTCGGCGTTTAATTCTTTCAGCGTGCTTCGATAATGCCATGAAGAATAATTCGAGAAATTCGCGTTTATCTTATCAGTAGAGAATTCCAGTTCGGCGTCAATTTTGTATCCGAGTTTCTTGAGGAGTAATCTTCGATAATCCCAAGAGTGAACTAAAAAAAATAACAATTCACCTAGTTATGCTTAATTTAAATTTATTAAAATTATTTTTCTTACTTTAATTAATTAGTTAGTAGTACAAACAAAAGTTAATTATGAACTTACAGTTTCGTTCATCGTACTTTAAATACTTCTCCACCAGCTTCAGCTCTTGTTGCCAATCTGCTTTGGGATGATGCTGTAAAATCCAGAAACGATGATGCCACGCACCATATGATTTCGGATTGGCGAGTAAACACCTCTCGGTCAAATCAAGTTCTTGCTGCATTAATTTAATCAAACGTAGTTTTAATAATCTGCAATAAAATCCCAATTGTTTCTCAATCAATGACTGATCATCAAGCCCTTGGGTTTCATCTAGAGTGCATGTCCTCACAAACATCTCTTCTAGATCTGAGATGATTTCGATAGGTATTGCTTGCTGTGTTTTTATATTTTCCAGGTGTTTATTAAAGCTGTTTCTAGCATTTTCCACATTGCTAGTGTCATCAGATTTCTCTTTAAAGTAATCATCAAGCATAGAAATAATGGTAACAAGACCCTTGTCTGATACATCGTAATCGTTTTTCAAATTTTCTACAAACTCTTCTTTTACTTTCTTTGTTTTGTCTGACCTGAAATTCAATTTATATTTTTGTGAATTTATTTTTCACTTTTTTAATCCTCTGCTTACAAATCATCAATCAGTGTTAGCATTACTTCTTTTCTATAGTTCCACAATGTATAAACATCAGGATTTTTCTCCAGAATTCCAGCACAGATGGCAAAACTCTCCTTGTCGTAAGGCTTTTCATGCCTTTTGGATTGAATGAGTAACATTCCATGCCTATAGGCTAATAATTTCTGCTTTTGTTGCTTTTCTTTGATAAGCTGTTGCTCCTCACTTGTACGCACTTTCAATCTTCCGTGCTATGTTAATACAGAAAATTACAATTATAAAATAAACGAATAATTCGCTAATAAAATTCGCCTAATAAAAACTTAACCTCTGATAACATACCATTTTTGACAAATTCTCCCAGTTGCAACTATTACGAAGCGTTAAAAAAACAAATATTCAAAAGAAAACTTTTTCAATGATAGCGTATATTAAAATTAACTATTTTAACACAACTATTAAATGAAGTAATGAAGTTTTATAATAAGAACACACGTAGATGTGGAATGTATAAACAGATCTAGGCAACATCTTATGCACACATTTAATAGTTTTCAAATAATAAAGGAAGCAAAATATTATCAGTATAATAGGAATTAAATTGAAACTAAAAATGGAATTGATTTTCTTAAAGAATTCCTAAAAATATTTACTAAAATTTTAATTCAGTAAAATTTTGCTGTGCCAGGTGTGATAACCTATACCGCGATTATTCATAATTTTGCACCTGGTACGGGCACTGGTTTAATAGGAAATTTTCCTAATTACATCTAACGACACTTTTTCGAGGAATTCAAAGTGTGATTTTACCTGTTTCAGGTTTTAAACAAAACTAAACCTTTCAGTTTAATTTTATACTCCCGTATGCGCATGCGCACACAAATGCGCACTCGGATTAGTTCGGAGATATGTCATCGTAGAATGCTCGTCTGGCCTTCACTTTAAATTCGCGTCCGGTAGTTGGCGGTTCAAACGTTGACGGTTATAAGAAATTCATCTTTCGGTAATCAGTGGCAATCTACCTAGTGACTACGTATTTACCAGCCGCTTTTAATTTTCAAGTACAGTGTGTGTTCTGTTTTGCACCTTCCTTTGTTTGTGTCAAGCTTTGATTGCGATGAGAGAAAACATGGACATTGACGGGTAAGTAATCCTATTTCTGAGATATTTTCCCAGTCACAATTGAGCGGCAAACTGAAATTAAATGTTTAACCAACGAATATTTCTTAGCTCCTTGAGCATTTGCGAAGACACGCGCGTGAAAAGAATTCTTCAGAGCGTCGAGACCGGCTTGCGTTCATGGTACAGCATCGTTAACACGTTCGGTTTGAATGAAAATGATAAAGTCAAATGGGAAGAGGAACTCCAGGATGAGATTGAGGCTTGTGTTAACGATTGTCACGCTGCAGCCATCGAGAAGCAACAAGCTCTTATTGATAAGATTGAAAGCTTGTTGACAGAGAGTGAAAAGATGTGTAAGAAACTTACCATTCAAATGCCAAGCTTTGCTCCAACTAATCAGGGCCTATATAATGATGAGAAATATCTCATTGAGTTAGTTAAAGGGTAAGAACAAATTAAAATCATGATAATTAATCTTTACTAACTAAATTTGATGTTTTGTTTAGATGGCAAGAAGAAATAACAACAAGAACCGTGGAAATTGACAATCTCAAGACGCGACGCGACGAAGTGAGCAAATCCTTGGGTCGTGAACCGTTCTTCGTTAAAGAATCTCCTCTTCCTAGCCGGGATGAAATTGAGATGTATAAAATCAAACTACAAGAACTCGAAGTTGAGAAACAGCACCGAATCGAAAAGTTTCGTGACCTGCAAGAACGAATTATAGCGCTATCCGACGAGATTAAGTTCATGCCGAAACTTGATTTTGAACGCGATATTATCACCGGAGATAATCTGCTGTTTTTTGAAGCTTCCGATGAAAACATGCAGCGTGTGGAGCAGTTTCATTTTGATTTATTGGAAATGCGTGAGAAAATCGAACAAGAGTTGAATAAATTGCGTGAAGCACTTGAGCATCTCTGGAAAGTTCTCGAAGAAGATGTGAAGTACTGCAATGACTTTATCCAAACTCATGTCGGGCTGAATTATAAAACTTTAGAAGCATTCAAAACAGAAGTGAAGCGGTGTGAATTAATCCGCAAAACTAATCTTGGCGTAAGTGTTTTTTTATTTCTATTATCTGCAGTCGAAAATCAAATTTTAATTTAGTTGTTATTTTGTTTGTTTAGAAATTTATTGTCAAACTACGCACGGAATTGATCGATCGTTGGAATGAAGCTGGATTTGCCGAAGCTCGACGCGCGGAATTTGCGATCTACATGGAAGATGATATGTTCACCGAAGACCTACTCACTTTGCATGATATGCAGATTGAAAGAGTGAAAGCATATTTGCGAAATAATCAGGAGATTTTTGAGCTATTGAAGCAGCGTGATGTGCTATACAAGCGAATGCGTGATTTGGATGAACGGGCGAATGCACCCGATAGATTCAAGAATCGTGGTGGGCAGCTGCTAAAAGAAGAAAAGGAACGCAAAGCTGTTACGAAGAAGATTCCGTGCATCGAGGAGCAACTACTCAATCTTGCCGTGCAGTATGAGGAGAAGCATGGTGAGAAATTTACGTACTTCGACGACACGATCGAAAGTTTAATCGAGAGGTCACGTGAAGTTCTGGAACAAGTAAGTCTACAATTTATATATATTTTTTCTTTTATAATTTTTAAACGTTTTGTAAAAATACATCCGCTTTGGTTGATTTTTACAATTTACTATCGCGCTAAAGTTATTCGCGTGTGAGTTGTGATGAATTATGTGAAGAAAAAAGAAGAAAATTGGTGTTCGACAGTGGAAGAAGCTCAACTTTTAGTAATGTAATAGTAGTTTGACATATCCTTATTTTTTATTTTATTCAACAGACACTTACCACACTCACACAAGACACCACTACACACAATACACATTTAGGTTCATCTTCATCATCAACATCATCGTCATCATCTTCAAGGCGTTCTTCTAATGGAGACTCCCGTGTGGCATATGACAATGTCGCATTGTGTTTAATCAATAATATTGAAAACCTTACAAATAGTATATTTGGTAATGCACGATCAACGGGTAATTTGAGTTCTAAAGATGAAATGTTCAACACACCACTTGGTAGGAAACCAAACGTGCAGAAAAAGTTATTAGTTGCAAGCGAAAGTCAACTTTCCAAACAAAAGAATACCAATGTTCTTTCAAGGCGTTTATCGTACCAACCTAAGTTGACAACACCAAAATCTTCTGTGCCTAAGTCGAATATTCCTGTTCCTACTGTAAAAGCTGTAAAACCTATTAAAGTAACACCTTGCACTCCTGTTCAATGCCCACCTAAAGTAGATTCAAGAACTTTTACAAAGAAAACAGTAAAACCACGACGAAATGCACCATCTTCATCAATAAAATTGTTTTCTACTAATACAGGCCCAAAAGAAGATACTCATTCCTCAGAAGAAGAACGAATTCAATTGTTTCTGAAGTTAGCTGGCATGAAAATGAGACAGTTAAATAAGGAACAAGTGGTTTTCGTTGAGAAGTTGATTATGGATGCGTTACACGAAGCTGTATTAGGACAGCTTACATCAACTTATACATTGCAGTGTTAATGTATATATTTAAAAGTATAAATGTGATATGTTAGTCTTAAGATTTGGTGTAATATTAGTTTAAGTTCATACAAATAAACTATTAAAAGTAAGAACAACCCCATATAATTCCTTTTTTTATTTGTGATTTGCATTGTGTAGTTATAGATTATTGATTGATTGTATTGATTTATTTTATAGGAAAAGAAGGAGCAAATGAGCGCAAGGAAACAAAAACGTGACGTGACAATGAGCTCTAGCAAAATGACACCTCGAGTCTTATACAAATCACCGAGTATGGCACAGTTATCAACGCGAAATCATCTTACACCCCATAATTTACGCACGCCAAGTGAGTTTTAAAGTTTTTAAAATTGAATATTCTTCATTAAAACATCTTTTTATGACAATTCTAGTGCGTACACCAAAAACAGCGCCAGCGCGAAGAGTGCTTACTGCAAGAAGATCGATTACCAAAGCGAAAATCCGCCTATCCACAGATAAAAAGAAGCGCATTGCTGCAATGCGCGAACAAATTAAGTCTTCGAAACGAACAGAGCCCAATGAGAATGACATTGAGTATTCCAAGTTTGAGGTAAAACAAAACCTTTAACGATTTTTGACAAATGTTTTATAATGTTTTCTATCGTAGATTGAAATGTCGAGGAAGGATGGTGCTGCAAGGAGTACAATCAGTTTGCAGAGTCCGCATGCTACGCTCCTGAAACCGTCCATTCGCATTGAAACACCCCGCACCGTCGACAAGCAGCTTAAAACGTTCGGAGTCAAAGCAAAATTACATTTCTAAGATTTTTATATTTTATAAAATTACTTACAAAAAATGCATTATTTATATCAAGTCGCTCACATTTGCGAACATTGTTTTTATATCTTACATTGTTAGATGTTAGTTGTAAGGTTGTGGGCTGTCTACTAACAATCAGTACTTAAATGTTTTAACTTTATTACAAGTTTAATAGTCTTAAGTTTAGGTTATAAATTTTACTATCAGCGCGGGAGAATTAAAATACGTACGGATGAAAATAAAATCAAAAAAATATTAAATCCGATCTTGTCTCATGTGAGCTGTTTGAAGCAGCCCCCTGTCACTTAAATGGGAGAAAGACGCAAGAAAGAGCTGGCGCTGGTAGTTTAGTTGCACGATAGCGGTTTACCGTTTGTGTTGTTATCATATGGCTAAACTACGCAACTATATTACAACCGTTGCAACTATACTTCTCTGTAAATATTCGCTCTCTGCAAATAGCGACAACATTGAGTCGTATTCGGCAACACGGAGTTTAAGGGGGCTGGTTCTAACTCTCGTTCTCTTCTTTGTTTTAGCAATCGCTTTCGAGTTCCAATCGCAGTCATGAGCTAAATTTGAATGCGAATTTGATTCGCTTCGTCGGTCGACTTCCGATATAAAATAAAATGAATAATGACACCCGTTCTCGCACCTCTCGCACTTCGTTTTTGAAGAGATTTGATGCGATTTTAAAGAAAATATGTGATTTTATGACGAATACTTTCATTGACTATTTATGCAGTGTTTATTTATTGCTAAATTGATGAATATTTGCACTAAAATTGCAAAGTTTGATTTGAATTAATACATTCAAGCGACATCTACATTTGAAACTTTCAGTTATGTGTAAAAATTGCTATTCGTTCAGACAGGGTGGTGCATGCGCAGTTGCGTGTACGTGTGACACACGCGCACTGCTATTTAAGTGCGTGATCATACACTGACTTATAGCCAATCACTCACTGCCTCATATGCACGCCACACTTTTTGATACACTTTGTATTTTCTTGAGGTACTCAAAAGTAACTTCAGATGGCGCAATAATACATGTATTTGCTAAAAATATTCCTGCGAGTGATAGCCGGCGTGCCCAGTTGTTGTGTAGCCGGCACGCAACTCTTACTTCGATAAGTACTAAAACTTAAATGGATATTCGTGTTTCGTGTTGTAAATTTGTTATATCGCGTTATATTTGCTTGAATTTAGTGTTAATAGACGGGTTTTAGTGGCTAAATATTTATCGCGTATGTAATCTTCGGAAGTCAATGTTTGTGTGTTTATTATAGTTTCGCGTGTATCTGGTATCGCTTGCCGTCGCACGCCAATCGGCCATGTTGTGTGATTGTAAATAATATTTTGGAGTTGTGCGAACCATTTTTGTCTTCAGCAGAACAAGACGGGCGGCTGTTCTACCTGGTAAATATTATTATTTAAATAATTATGGCAAATTAGATAATTTTTAAGGCAATGTTTAGGTTCCTCCCGAACTCAGATTCATTTCATTTGTTTCTTGTTTATTTCAATATCTACTCGCATTTGATTTACGGTGCTCGATACACTGGTGAGTGAAATTTTTCATCGTTTATAGTATCTATTTTTCGATTTTCCGGTTTTTCTGCAATTAGAGAATGAATATCTTAAGCTTCTTTCTGCGGAAATTTCGGTCAAGCTTTCCGCAGAAAATTTGAAAATGGAAATTCAAACCTTTTTATTACGGATGTTCAGAGCGACGTTTTTTCAATTAAACACTTTATCATAGTAACATTTTACTCTAGGACTCATAGCTTTTTCGTAATTTGACTAAATGTGAACTTACATTTCCCGGGAAAAATTAAATTTGAAAATTTGAGGTTTTTATTTTCAATGTTACCCTAAAACGGCCTCCTCAGTATTTTATTTTTGTAAAATTTTACTCTTGAACTAATAGTTTTCTCGCAATTTGATAAAATGTAGACACACATTTTCCACAGAAAAATTAAATTTGGGAATTGAAAGTTTTTATTTTATATGTTCCTGTAAGAAGTGCTCATGAGCATTTTATTTGAGTAATATTTTACTTTAGGACCTATAGTTTTCCCATAGTTTGACTAAATGTGAACTTACATTTTTCACAAAAAATTAATTTTGTAAATTTAAAGTTTTTATTTCGGAAGTTGTTATAGAAGGTCTCCCTGAGCATTTTATTTTAATAAGATTTTACTCTTGGACTCATAGTTTTCCCGCAATTTTATCAAATGTGAACTTACATTTTCCACAGAAAAATTAAATGTGTAAATTTAAAGTTTTTATTTTGGAAGTTGTTATAGAAGGTCTCCCTGAGCATTTTATTTTAATAAAATTTTACTCTTGGACTCATAGTTTTCCCGCAATTTGATCAAATGTGAACTCACATTTTTCACAGAAAAATTAAATTTGAAAATTTAAGTTTTTATTTTGGATGTTGCTATAAACCATTCTCCTGATCATTTTATTTTAGTAAAATTTTACTGTTGGACTCATAGTTTACCCGTAATTTAATCAAATGTGATAATTTTCAGCAGAAAACTTCAGTTGAAATTTATAATTTTTTCTACTGAAGTTGCAACAAAACGTTTTTACGAGTCTTTTATTTTAGTATAAATTGTCTTTAAAATTCAGTTGGATTTGTTCATTGCTAAAATATAAACATAGCAATCCATGTTCAAATTAAATATGCCTTAAATATTTGATGTAAAATCGGTCAATCTTTTTGCATAAGAAATAATAATTTCATGATTTGAATTTTATTGTTTTATTAATTTTATTAATTCTGTAGCATTCATAGATGGCATTAGGATGTACTAAAAATCATAAAATCGAGTTATACGACTTATTTTTATATTTATCGACAAACGTGGCCACGAGAATAATTTTGTATACAGTGTTGTTATCAGCGATTCGATATAAACAACTTTTTATCGCATGTGGCCCGCGCACCGTCTTCTCACGCCGCATCAACTTGCTGCATGCAGCATATTCTAGTTTAGTTTAGATCGCAAGTATCGTGTCTATTGCAAATCGCGTAGGTAGTCTTATCATGAATTGTTGTGACTTCAATATTTTTCAATCCGTTCCTTTCTACAGCTTTTAGTTTACGAGATATTCGCAATTGAATAAATTGGCTGAAAAAAGAAAGCACTTTTTGCACTTTGCACTTTTTAGCACTTTTAGTCCATGAGAAATTAGAATTACACAACTCGAATTTTAATTTTTGATTAGTTTAAATAATTTTAATTGCGGGAATACTATTCTTAGCATTCAGAGATAGCACTTGCCTGAACTAAAAATCATAAAATAGAATTGTTTTCTTTATTTCTATATTTATCAGCAAACGTTGGCATTTGATACGAGAATTCTGTTTGTTTTGAACACAATTTACACTTTCTCATCGAATGCCCGTGTGTCATCGTTGCCATCCCCTTACGCCGCACGTTGTCACGTCCTTAGTTCAGTTGTGATCGCAGGTAACATGCCTGTTGCAATTCACGCACAATTCTATTGCTTTTACCTGCGGGGTTCATGCTGCAGGCACATTGTCTTATTGGGAACTGCCGCATCGTTGCTTGCTGGCGCATCTAAACGTATTTCGCGCGATTCGTATCGTTTTATCGGACTCTTCAATTGAGTATTTAATTGTAATTTAATTGTACGTTTAATATCCATAATTTTTGATGTTTACATTCCAAATGCATATTGTTGCCCTGATGTTTCCCGTCATTAGGAGGTCCCCTCGTACTTGAGTAAGTAACTTATATCTGACTTGTGCTACTCAGCACAGTATGTTTGTTTTCTCTGATGTACGAATATAATATTATATTGTATGCAATGTTTTTATTTTAACTTATGTTTTCTTTTAATTGCAGTACTTGCTGTGCCCTAGCAATCCAATGAGCACTGCATTGGTAAGTTTTTATTAAGTTATATTATTCGGTCAAATGTTTTATGACCTGCGTATTACAATATATTTTAATTGCGGGTAATATAAAAAACGAAGGAAACGACAAACTTTGCCCGTTTTTTGCGTTTTTCAAAACACACGGTGGAAAAAAGGCCATATCTCGGGAATCCTTTCTGATACCACAAGAGTGCATTTTTAAAATGCACCCCTGAACCCCGCTAAATTCGGTCGTAACTGCCTCAAAATGGCCGCCAAAGTTAGGCCTTTTCTTGCAATTTTCAATACAAACGGTGGAAAACAGGCAATATCTCGGGCACCCTTTGTGATATTTTAGTCTTTTCTTTATTTTATGATAGGATAAGAGTTCAGTTTTAAAATGCACCTTTAAAGCTCTGCGAAATTCGGTCGTAATTGCCTCAAAATGGCCGCCAAAGTTACGCCTTTTCTTGCAATTTTCAAAACACGCGGTGGAAAACAAGCCATATTATGGGAACCCTTTGTCATATTTTAGTTTTTCTTTATTTTATTGTAGGGCAAGAGTGCATTTTTAAAATGCACCCCTGCACTTCCGCGAAATTCTGTCGTAACTGTCTCAAAATTGCCGCCAAAATTACGCTTTTTCTTGCAATTTTAAAAACACGCGATAGAAAATAGGCTATATCTCGGGAACCCTTTGTCATATTTTATCTTTTTATTTAATTTATGATATGGCAAGAGTGCATTTTTAAAATGAACCCCTTAGTTCCCGCGAAATTTGATCGTAACTGCCTCATAATGGCCGCCAAAGTTAAGCGTTTTCTTGCAATTTTCAAAACACGCGGTGGAAAACAAGCCATATCATGGGAACCCTTTGTCATATTTCCGTTTTTTCTTTATTTTATGATACGACAGGAATGCACTTTTAAAATGCACCCCTGAACTCCCGCAAAATTTGATCGTAACTGCCTCATAATGGCCGCCAAAGTTACGCGTGTTCTTGCAATTTTTACAACACGCGGTGGAAAACAAGCCATATCTTGCGAATCCTTTATCATATTTCAGTTTTTATTTTATTTTATGATACGACAAGAGTGCTCTTTTAATATGCTCCCCTGAACTCCTGTAAATTTTGATCGTAACTGCCTCAAAATGGCCGCCAAAGTTATGCGTTTTCTTGCCATTTTCAAAACACGCGGTGGAAAACAAGCCATATCTTGGGAACCCTTTGTCATATTTCAGTTTTTTCTTTATTTTATGATACGACAAGAGTGCGGTATTAAAAATGCACCCCTGAACGCCCGCGAAATTCGGTCATAACTGCCTCAAAATGGTCGCCAAAGTTACGCCCTTTCTTGCAATTTTCAAAAGACGCGGTGGAAAACAAGCCATATTTCGGGAACCCTTTGTCATACTTTAGCTTTTTATTTATTTTATGATAGGGCAAGAGTGCATTTAAAAAATGCACCCCTGAACCTCCGCGAAATTCGGTAGTAACAGCCTCATAATGGCCGCCAGAGTTAGGCCTTTTCTTTTCCAAACAAACGGTGAAAAATAAGTCATATCTTGCGAACCCTTTGTCATATTTTAGTGTTTTCTTTATTTTATTGTAAGGCAGGAGTTCATTTTTAAAATGCACCCCTGAACTCCCGCAAAATTTGGTCGTAACTGCCTCAAAATGGCCGCCGAAGTTACGCCCTTTCTTGCAATTTTCAAAACACGCGATGGAAAACAGGCGATATTTCGGGAACCTTTCATGATATTTTAGTTTTTTCTTTATTTTATGGTAGGACAAGAGTGCATTTTTAAAATGCACGACTGAAGTTCTGCGAAATTCGATCGTAATTGCCTCAACATGGCCGCCGAAGTTTGCCCTTTCTTGCATTTTTTAAAACACGCGGTGGAAAATAGGTCATATTTTGAGACCCCTTTGCCATATTTTAGTTTTTTCTTTATTCTATGATAGGGCAAGAGTGCATTTTTACAATTCACCCCTGAACTCCCGCGAAATTTCATCGTAACTGCCTCAAAATCGTCGCCAAAGTTACGCCTTTTCTTGCAATTTTTAAAATACTGGGTGGTGTGGTCAACGCAGTTTTGTCCCGATCGTGGAATGGGTCGGACGTGTTTTTCGCGGCTATTCATTTTAGTTTGAGTTTGTTTTTTGGTAAATCGCGTTCATTTCGATTGTCTATCGACTGCATTTAGTTATTACTTACGTGTTTAGTGTTTTATTCGTGGTTAATAGGGTGTCGAATATACACAATCGTTAATTTATATTAGCGTTTGTTGTGCCTGATCCAAGCTGGCCGCGTGCTATCAACTTGTTTATACTGCACGCTCGCGATATACAGGTAGCATGTCCCTGCAACGTCTATCTGTGTCGTTGTGTTTGGTATTTTGTCCCGGGAACATGGACAATGATCTTCGTGGAAGGGAAGAAAGAACGGTAAAGTGCAGACTTTCTTTATTTTTTTTTCTGAAATTGCTGTCCCCGTTAAATTCACCTATTTGTGCTAGCAAGGTCTTTGCTTACGCACGGTTAGAACGTTATCTTATTTTGTAATTGTTGTGAACTTTTTTGTTTATCTAACCGTGTCTAGTATTACCGTAGTTAAATGAGATTTAATTTTAGTTCTTGGTGAATTCTGCGCCAAATATTTACCCGAAGATCATCTTCTGGCTATCAGCAATGGCGTCCGTATTGTCCATGTTCCAACGACCTTCATGCACCGCGAGAAAGAAAGGTAAAGTACACATTTTCATTATTTTTGTTTATTGGTATTTCATTTAATTTATACGCGGCAGTTAACTTAGCATACCATGTATTTTTATTACCATATCAAACTTAATTTTAGAAATATTATAGAAATTAATTTTGAGCGTAAAACACCGCACACTGCGGTGGAAAATGCACTGGAGAATCGCCTGCCACGACATCAACCAAGGAACACTTTCCAGCCTGGTGGAGAGCAGCTGCGTTTCGAGGAGATGCTATACTTCTATAATTTATCGCTTATCTTGAAAACACTTGCGCACACACATTCTTTTTTAAACCAGTACAAATAATGCGCACAGGGAATGACACATAAAGAACTTCCTGACTTTTATACCACAAACGCATTCTTTTAATTCACTTATAATTAGAATTGTATATATTTCGGGACCTTGGACGATTGATTTGATGAATGCTTGTGGAATAACATGCAGTGTAAACTCTTTATGACGATAACCACTAAGATTAGTTTGTTTAAGGACGGATCTTATTCGTCCAGCCATTTGCCACAAACCAACCTTCTTGTACATATTTTGGCGTCATAAAAAGGGTTATCAAGAGAGGTTATCATTGTATTGCACATACGCCTCACGACTTTTACTGTATTGTATTATTGCTTCTCGTGCTAATGTCGTGCTAGTCGTCCCGACTTTGCGTTTTATTTGTTGTAGTGTTGCGGGTATTTGGTAGTTGCAGCACTGTTGTCTACGAGTAGCTTTAACTCGCAAAAGGGACGTCTCTAGAGGTGTTAAATTAAATTCTCCATGAGGTTGTATTAATTTGTTGCTGGAATGATGCATTGGTAAATTCGAAAATTGGGGTGTTAAGTGATTTTCGCATGCGGAGTGAAATGATTAGAGTTTTTTCGGTATAGCTCGCGGGAGAGGCGGCTTAGAAATTTCTGCGCGATCTTTATAGATGTCAAATTAAAGTTTCCGTCGGGTTGTGTTTGTTTTATGCAGGAATTCGATCTGTAACCCGGGAAAATTTGCATGAAAGGGTGATTTTTTCACCCTTTCTTGTGAAGAGTAAAATCAGCATGGCGTCTAGTGATGCAGAATTAAATTCTGCGTTGGGTTGTATTTGTTTGATGCTGGAATTCGACCTGCAATCAGAGAAAATTTGCATAAATGGGTGATTATTTCACCCTTTTCCGTGAAATGTTTCCATTTTTTCGGGTTTGCTCGCTACCTTGGCGGCTCAGGAATTTCAACGCGGCGTCTAGGGATGCGGAATTAAATTCTCCATCGGGTAGTAGTTTATATTAAGATACCAAAAACGAATACTGGAATTATCTACCTGGTGTCCCCAATTAGATGTTTATGTCGGCTAACAATTCTCTTTTCTGCTTAGTCGGTCGTGCGCGGTGGTGTCGTGAACACGTGTTTTGTTTGTGCGTCTATCTGCATAGTTATTAATCGGGTTTCTTGAGATGTTAATGTAATAGTGGCATGAATGACAATGAATGTCAGCCAGTGTGGCTTACAGTTATTGAATTGTCGCCCATGAAATCTGAAAGTGAGTGGTTTTATCCCAAACTCCTACTATAGAATTCTTGCAAATCTATGTTCGGTCGTGCGTTGCGTAGTAGTGTGCACATGCTTTGTATGTCGTTCGGTTCTCGTGGCGATTTTTCACATTTCTTGGGGTTATAAGTCGGTAGTTTAATTAATATCGGTCAGCACGGATAGAATTTAGCATTGATTGATGTATGCGACGTGTAATTAGTAAGTTATCGCGTCTGGAAGTATTAATTAAGTTGTTTTTTCAATGTGCGCACGTGTTTTCAGTCGCCCGTCGGATGTCTCTCGTCGATACGAAGAATTCTTACTGGATTTATAAATTTTTGTGCATTTTTTAAATAATTCTATCGTGGAAATATACCACGATTGTTTCCCGTGTGGAATGAAGTCCGTAAAATCTTTTACGTACCAGTTTGTGAAGATTAAACATTCAAGTAAGTGTAACTTGTAACTTAAGTAACTTTTGTATGTAACGTTGAACACATGTACTTAAATTTCATGCAACAGAATTAAATTTGTGTATGTACTGTCTTTTGATTATATGAGTTTGAATAAAATATAATTTAATAGTATATTTTGAAGCAATTATCTCTCTGTGTTCTTATGGTCGTTTTCAGAATTAGATTTAAAGATCATATTTGATTACCCGTGTTTGAAATGCGTATAAGTGATATATAAATGTTGTTGTTTTTAAAAAGCGGAGATAAAGAACAACATTTATACCTGAAACGAATAGAGTTTGGTAAGTGAGCGTTGTGGCTCAGATGGCATGTGCATATCCTAGCATGCTGAAGGTTCATGGTTCGAATCTCAGTTGCAGAAGGTGGCGATTTTATTAAAGAATAAGAAATTTAAGAAATGTGGGTTGCATACCACTAAAATTCAAGATTCAAATGTGAGAAATAACTTGAAAAGTAGAGTACGACGAAGCAAAAATAGGAATAAGTTGAAGATGGCGGAGGAATAAGGAAAGTAGAGAGCAGCAGCAGAGAATAGGAAAAATAGTAAGAAGAGAAGAAAAGAAGAGAGAGTGGCGTACAAGAAGAAAAGAGAATAGGGGTGACAGTAATTTTAAATTTTTTGTCGGCGTGTCGTTAGACAGTCAACTGCTTCGATGTGTCCATTGCTCCCGGCCCATCCTACAGCTGCGATGTCTCTGCGCTTCATCCCCGAAATACTCAGGCATATCAACAATTTTTATGGTGGGGGATCACCCCCAAAGAGAGGGAACTCCTTATAAGGACAATCCTTATAAGGTCTTGTTTAAATATTTCTAAGTTTTAAGTCGCCTCAAGAGAGGCGACACTTAAAAATATTCTTGCAAGTTCTGACCTGTAGCTGAAATGAAAGAAGGAGCACACAAATCACACAGGATACCTTAACAATTTTTATAGTGGGGATCATCCACTGAGAGAGGAAACTCTCTTAGAGACCTGTTCCTGAAATTATAGAAGGGGTACACAAATCAAAGAAGTATATCTTTCTACTTCTTTATTAATTAACAATAGAGTACATGTTTAGATTTTACAAGTCAACAAAATACATGTAGCCATATTGAAGTAGGACTTACGATCTGCATAGCCGCGCACATGCAAGCAAGTACTATTGCATAAAGTATTACCGGGATAATGAAATTAGTAAATAGCCAATTTTCTAGGTGACTGAAAGTGGAAACAAATATACAGGGTGTTACAAAAATAAAATTTAAAGTACAAACAGAAAAACACTACAAATATCGATTGTTTTTCACCCGACGTATGGGAAACTAAGACACGGGGTGTTAGAAAGAAAATTCAAAGTGCCAGAAGTTAAATTCTAATAAGGGTCAAAGCAAAATTTTCAGGGATGTGAAGGAAAACTATTATACAGGAAGTCACAAATAGAAAATTCAACGATCAAAGGTGAAAGCATTTAAACACTACAAATATTGCTCGCTTTCAACCGATGCTCCGGAAAACTAATAAACAGGGTGTTGCAAAAAGAAAATTCGAAGAGCAAAAAGGAAAGCCCTAAAACAACAGCTGAAGCATAATTTTCACGGACACAAAGAAAAACAAATATACAGGGTGTTCCAGACGGAAAATCCCAAGTTTAAAACAAAGAACACTCAAAACTCACAAATATAAGCGATTTCCTACGCTCGGTTGGGAAAACTTATATACAGGATGTTACAAACTACAAATATGGTCAATATTCACATCATAACGAAGGAAATTTACAACGAAACAACTAGGTTTTAATATGAATTCAAAGATTTTACCCGAAAATCATCGGAAAAGGTGAGTAAAAAGGTGTTACGAGAATAAAACACTTACATTTTAATATACAGTGGAATCTCAGTAATCCGACAATCACTTTGCAGGGCAGTGTCGGATTATCGAATTCGTCGGATTATAGAGGGCTGCCTAAAACCCCTACAGTACGGAATTTTTTACATAAGAGTACCTTGTAATCCGATAAATTACAGATCCAATAAGACATGGTCCGACATGGTCATGCCATATGTTTGTACTTTAGGATTTGTAATTTGTCGGATTACAAGGTATTTTTTTGAAAAAAATTCCGGACTGTAAGGGCTCTTAGGCAGTTTTCTATAATCCGACAAATTCGCTCATCCGACAATGCCCTGCAAAGTGATTGTCGGATTACCGGGATTCCACAGTATGATATATATGTTGCAGTCAAAGTGTACATTACAGTCAATGTATACATTGACTAGTCAATGCATACATTCACTACCCATTTTAGTCAAAGTGTTCACTCACTATTAGAATGAACACTTTAACTAGTGAATGCATGCATTAACTAGGTAATGTATACATTTACTAACCAACAGCTGTCAAAGTGTTCACTCATTATTAGAATGAACACTTTAACTAATGAATGCATGTATTACCTAGGTAATGTATGCAGAGTTACTAACCAACTGCAGTCAAAGCGTTAATTGATGAATTTTAAAATAAAATTTTGTTGGAACAAGTTTTTTACAGGCGCAAGACCATGATCGCCGTTCTAGATTCAGGATAAAACATAAATGTTGAATCGGGAAATTGAAATTAGAACACACACAATGATTAAGTTTGAACAGTAAAACTAGGTTATATTAAATAAAAATTTTAGTTTTAAATTGAAACACATAATAATTTAGAACAAAAGTTTGAACAACGTAAATAGGTTATAATATTAAGTAAAATATATGCGAAAAAATGAATTAATAATTGACTCGATGATGATTGCACTAAAGCTAATCTATATATATAAAATTTGCGTGTCACAGTGTTTGTTTCCATACTCCTCCGAAACGGCTTTACCGATTTTTACCAAATTTTATATGCGTATTCAGTAGGTCTGAGAATCGGCTGACATCTATTTTTCATACCCCTAAGTGATAAGGGTTGTTCACCCTTAACTTTTTTTTAAATTTTTGGACAAATTCTTTTGTTTTTATTTTTTTTGGAATGTGGAATTAAAAAATACATACAACCCTAAATTTTTAGTTTTTTATCACCAACCCCTATTTCTTTATAGCCATTTTAGTAATTTAATCATTTTTCATCCCGCTCAAAGAAAATTATTATATGCGCATTCAGTAGGTCTGAGAATCGGTAACTTCATATCTCTAAGTGATAAGGGTTGTTCACCCTTAATTTTTTTAAAATTTTGGTAGAAATTTTTTGTTTTTATTTTTTTAATGTGGCATTAAAATATACATACAACCCTAAATTTTTGGTTTCTTATCACCAACCCCTATTTTTTATAATAAGTAAGTTACTTTTTGTCTACACTAAAATTTATCTAGAAACTAGAAATAATTTATATGGCAAAACAACGTTTGCCCGGTTAACTAGTTATAACATAAAAATAGAAAAGCTATAAATATAAAGCAAAAAAATACAATTGTCAAGCCAGTAGGTGTGCTGATGAGACCTCTAATGGTCGAAATAGCTATCCACATCAGGCTTGACAAATACTTGCATTGACTTGCAATGGTTTAGTAAAAATATCGTTTTGGCGATATTGTGAGGGTATAGCGTACAGTAAGTGTTTACTTAACTTTACTTAGCTAAAAAAATACAATATAATAGAAAGAATAATTTGAAACATAAACATAAGTAAAATTAGTAAAAAACGTTATTTGTTTGCACAATTTAAACTTCCATGACATTTGGAGTTGCACAATTTGTCTGCACATTATCTGATTCTAGATCTAGATCCTCTTCCGCAATAACTTCAACTCGTGGAATCTCCTGGACACTTTCTTCATTACAGTTGATATTTTTAAGAATATTTTCCAAATCTTCTTCACTGTTTATACTGCTTAATACCTCATGTGGTAGGGAAGAAGAGGTAAGGCCGACCTTGGCGGGTTGTCCAAACCTTGCCTCGTAAGGACTTCGCTTTATACCAGCGTGAAGGGCTCGATTTTTCATAAACTGCACATAACCCAGTCCTCTACTCCAATTACTAGTTTGATTATGTTGCATCCATGCGGTTAAAATATTCTCAATATCTTGATTCGCACGCTCCACACTGCCTTGAGACTGGCTGTGGCGTGGCTTCCCATGCACAATTTTTAATTCAGGCCATAAACCTTTCAAATCATCAATGACGTGGTTAACAAATTCTCGGCCATTGTCCGATTGCAAAATAGATGGTGCCCCAAATAGTAAAAAAATTTGAAGGAGTTGATCAGCAACTTCATCAGCTGTCTTATTCTTAAGGGCTCTAAGAATGACAAACTTTGTTAAGTGGTCCTGGTACACCAATATAAATTTATAATTATCATCTGGCTGTGATTGGAAGTCAATTAAATCTACTTGACATCTTGAATTAAAATGAGAAAACACCATTGGCTTAACCACCAAGCCTTTCTTTTCATTCGCCCTTTTTTTAAGGCACACTTCACAATTATTTAAAAATGTTTGAATATCTTGTGCTGTTATATTTTTAAAGCAAAGGTTAAGCTCCTTTTTCATTCTGTCTCGTCCTCCATGTCCAATTGATAAATGAGTTTCATATAAAACTTCAAACAATTCTTCAACAGTAACATAATACAGCACTTTTTCATCTGCTATTGGTGCAATTAGTTTATCCACATTACCCACATACACTGTATCATAATGTTTTAGTAACCAGAAGTGACGATTTTCTTTTTTCTGAGCAGATTTAGCGAATTTAACATCACTTATTAGTTGAGTATATCTTTCCGTAGTAATACGAAAGCCGTTAGCTTTTTGTGGAGTATTCTTAATATATTGGTAGAATTTATCTTTCATTGCTTGTTTATCCATTTTATATTTATGGCTAAAACTAATTAAAAATTATTAATTTCTATGGACACATATAATTTAAATAACTCACTTACCATCCAACAATCAGCCAGTGTATACTCTCTCAAACAGCAACAGATTGAAGCACACGGTGCAGCACGAATAAAAAAACAACAACAATCAGCCAGGGAATACTCTCTCAAACAGCACAGATTGAGCAACAGCCAACAGCACACAGTGCATCGCGAATAAAGAGGTTAGGTTTAAGGTTTCACGGCAAATTTAACGATTTAATCAACGGATTTAACACACAACCCACTGACTAGAAGCAGCCCGTGAATGCATACATCCACTAGCTAATGTGTTCATTTCAGTTACAATGAATACTTTAACTACGAATTTTAGCGAATATACATTTACTAAATGTATGCATTGACTGCAACATATACATTTATGATCGGATTACGAGGGGTGCCGGATTAGACTAGGTTCGGATTACCGCAACTCCACTGTATTGTGTATATAGTTATCATTTGATGATAGCATCAACTGCATATGGTAACCGTCGGGCGAAGCATCATAATAAATTGATAGAACATTCGGCAGAACATTCAAATCAGCTGACGACAAGCGACGGCGCGTTGTAATACAGTAGGTAAACACGATAAAAATAACTAGTTACTTGTAAAGATTAAGATATATGGAGCGAAAAACTATTCAACGTACAAGATTTTATTAGATCAACAAGAAACTTTTTCATTTAATGATGCTAAGGAGTGTAATTCAATTAAAAACGTTCAGCGGAAAGAGGAACGAGCCGACGGTCGACGGCAAAGTGAGCGTGGTCGACCACATGATTATTGTCATTTTAATAATTCTAAGATGCTTTAATAATTAAATTATGCATGTTATTTTCGGAAACGGAACTAAGAATTCTGATAAAAATGCTACCACGTGTTTGTAATCTGCAAAATTAATATCCCTAAAATGGAATAAAATAAATCATCAATTTAATGTAAACCGTCTTAACTTTGCGCGAAAAAAATTAATTACACACCTACCAGTGCAATGATGAAGAGATTTTCGATCCAGGAATAGGTATATCTTATCAACTGAAAACTCGGCGCAGAAATTAACAGACATTTATTTCTTACTTAGAACACTCTAACTGTCACAACTCATCAAACAAAATAGCCACACATGCTCGTTACGAATATTTTGCTGATGACGATAAGAATACACGACCATTAATTGAATAATTGAAGTCTGAAAACACATGGCTTGTAGTTAGGCGCGCTCGCGGACCATGCGGTGAAACGACTGCCGTGTGCGCTACGCGTTACCGGGTACAAGGCAGGTACGTCGCGATAATACACGTCAGTCGAACAAAAAAGTTGTTTACAAACAAACGTAGTGGTAAACTCGTACTTGAGAAGACGAAAGTAAAAATTCACAATATTGAAATAACACATATAGGTACACGAAATCTTCTTTTAGTTTCAATATTTCTCGGCATAAGAAAAGAATATATTGGTTTTGGGATGCAATAAGGATGAGGAAAAGGAGGAATTTGTAATTTACCAATATATCCCTACATCGAGACTAATTTAAATATTCTCTATAACGCTCGTACGGTGCCCTAAACACGAGTCACTTCTACCGCTACCTTCGAACGGTGCCCTGAACACGAGTCACTTCTCCCGCTACCTTCATACGGTGCCCTGAACACGAGTCACTTCTACCGCAACCTTCGAACGGTGCCCCGAACACGAGTCACTTTTACCGCTACCTTCGAACGGTGCCCTTAATACGAGTCACTTCTACCGCTACCTTCGTAGGGTGCCGTGAACACGAATCACTTCTACCGCTACCTTCGAACGGTGCCCTGAACACGAGTCAGTTCTACCGCAACCTTCGAATGGTGCCCTGAACACGAGTCACTTTTACCGCTACCTTCGAACGGTGCCCTGAACACGAGTCACTTCTACCGCTACCTTCGTAGAGTGCCGTGAACAAGAGTCACTTTACCGATACCTTCATACGGTGCCCTGAACACGAGTCACTTCTACCGCAACCTTCGAACGGTGCCCCGAACACGAGTCACTTTTACCGCTATCTTCGAACGGTGCCCTTAATACGAGTCACTTCTACCGCTACCTTCGTAGGGTGCCGTGAACACGAATCACTTCTACCGCTACCTTCGAACGGTGCCCTGAACACGAGTCAGTTCTACCGCAACCTTCGAATGGTGCCCTGAACACGAGTCACTTTTACCGCTACCTTCGAACGGTGCCCTGAACACGAGTCAGTTCTACCGCAACCTTCGAATGGTGCCCTGAACACGAGTCACTTTTACCGCTACCTTCGAACGGTGCCCTGAACACGAGTCACTTCTACTGCTATCTTCGTAGAGTGCCGTGAACAAGAGTCACTTTTACCGATACCTTCGAACGGTGCCCTGAACACGAGTCACTTTTCCCGCTACCTTCATACGGTGCCCTGAACACGAGTCACTTCTCCCGCAACCTTCGAACGGTGCCCCGAACACGAGTCACTTTTACCGATACCTTCGAACGGTGCCCTGAACACGAGTCACTTTTCCCGCTACCTTCATACGGTGCCCTGAACACGAGTCACTTCTCCCGCAACCTTCGAATGGTGCCCCGAACACGAGTCACTTTTACCGATACCTTCGAACGGTGCCCTGAACACGAGTCACTTTTCCCGCTACCTTCATACGGTGCCCTGAACACGAGTCACTTCTCCCGCAACCTTCGAACGGTGCCCTAAACACGAGTCACTTTACCGATACCTTCGAATGGTGCCCTGAACACGAATCACTTCTACCGCTACCTTCGAACGGTGCCCTGAACACGAGTCACTTCTACCGCTACCTTCGTACGGTGCCCTGAATACGAGTCACTTTTACCGCTACCTTCGAACGGTGCCCTTAACACGAGTCACTTCTACCGCTATCTTCGTAGAGTGCCGTGAACAAGAGTCACTTTTACCGATACCTTCGAACGGTGCCCTGAACACGGAATCACTTTTCCCGCTACCTTCCTTACGGTGCCTTACAGACACAGTCACTTCTCCGCAACCTTCAGACGATTGCCCCGAACACGAGTCACTTTTACCGGTATCAGACGGTGCCCTGAACACGAGTCACTTTTCCCGCTACCTTCATACGATTGCCCTGAACACGGTCACTTCTCCCGCAACCTTCGAACGGTGCCCCGAACACGAGTCACTTTACCGATACCTTCAGACGGTGCCCTGAACACGATCACTTTTCCCGCTTCACCTTCATGCAGTTGCCACAGACACGAGTCACTTCTCCGCAACCTTCGGAGCAGTTGCTGAACACGAGTCCACTTTTACCGATACCTTCGAACGGTGCCTAAACACGAGTCACTTCTCCACTTTACCTTCATACGGTGCCCTGAACACGAGTCACTTCTACCGCAACCCAACCGAACGGTGCCCCGAACACGAGTCACTTTTACCGCTATCTTCGGGCAGTTGCCCTTAATACGAGTCATTTTCTACCGCTACCTTCGTAGGGTGCCGTGAACACGAATCACTTCTACGCACGCTACCTTCGAACGGTGCCTGAACACAGCGAGTCAGTTCTGCCGCAACCTTCGAATGGTGCCCTGAACACAGTCACTTTTACCGCTACCTTCGAACGGTGCCTGAACACGAGTCACTTCTACCCGCAACCTTTTGAACGGTGCCCTGAACTTTTGAGTCACTTTTACCGCTACCTTCCGAGGTGCCCTGAATAAAAGTCATACTACCGCCCACCTTTGTAGGGTGCCCTGTCACTGCTACCGCTATCATAAGATCACATGAATGCCTCCAAATGGTTGATCTAAATTACAAGTGATCTGTTGCAGTCGATAATTGTTTTTACGCAGTATAGCCGCACTCATCATGCTGATCTCGTCGATGAAAACGGCTCTTACGCCAACGGACAGCATGTTCCTGTATGCTTGCAACGTTTCCAGAAGATGGAGTGCTTTATGACTCGAGATGTTGTAAGACGGAACGCTGAGTGAACTGTTGTTCCACCAAGAGGAACTGCTGCTTTACCTGTACTTGCACAAGCCAAGTAGGCATTGTTAAGTGAGTTGTGATTTTGAGTGTAGCGGTTGTAGGTCTCCATCAAGCTTTTCAATGTATAAGTTTTCCCGCAGCCCGCCGGTCCTGTGAAGAATACTTGAATTGCGTCAACGACCTCATCTCCGCAGCCATGCAAACGATGTATAACCTCAAGAATCAGCTCACGTTGTTCAGGGTTGGTAGTTCGAATCAGCTCACAGTACTTCTGTTTTGGCATCACATTGCTACGTTTCTTTACAACCGAAAATCCTTCTCGTGGAACGATTTGAATTCACGTCATCGTTAATTTCGGCACTTTCTGAAGACTGTTCGACAGACACTCTCCTTGCCTCAGTTTCCGCTGGTTCTGTGCTGTTAGATTTTGCAGAATCATCATTGCTTCCAAGCTCCTGTAGCACACTGTCGATGTTAAGATTTTTCTCGTATATCTGACGGCGTTCCATGATGACATCCTTGTTGTCGTTGTATAATTGTAGAAATTTATTGCAATCAACAATTTCAGATAATTCATTGCGGAAGGGCAGATACAGCAGCACCATCTCACGTTGATAGTTGACAATTTCATCTACTTCGTAATGCCTGTATCGTATGATCCGTCCCATCTGTCGTCTGCGATATTGTCTTGACGTCGTTTTTTTTTCGGTCTCTGGTTCAAATTTTCATACTCATGCACGTCCACGTCGTCTTCATTGTCGATGAAATCTTGACATTTAGCATACCACGAAGCAAGCTTCGGCCAAATATACAGGTTCCAGGAAGGGAGGTCGTTCTTCATATCGCTGGAATGATATTTTGGTCCATACGTCTGTACTGTCAGCATCAATTCCTTCGCGATTCATTTGTACACGACGTTTGCGGCAACGTTGTCTCTCCGATAGCCATACTGTTGGTATGTACACGACTTGACGGCTTGTTTCGCTCGTCGGTTTGTCGTAATAAATACCACGCTGCTTCTTGTGCCGACATTTCAACTGCATTTAGAAGTTTAATACTCCGACCTTCAATTGGCCGTGTAGTCCCGTTCGGGATGCTCTTGCATCATTTTCGCCAGCTCTCGATTCAAGTTACCCATTCCGCGAGCCGATTTGTTAACGTATTCCACGACGTACTGTGCGCAGCTATAATCATCTAAGAATAAACTGGATGTCAATGTTGGGTTAATTTCACCAGCAAGGTAAGGGTTGAATGTTCGTCATCAGTTGGTCGAAGTTGCGTTTGAACAACAATGGCCTGCGCAGAGTTGAACGCACTACGTCGGGTATGCATCGAACGTCAAACTATA